CTGATTCAAGGAAGGAGCACCAAACAGGGATCAGAAGTTCAAACAAAATCAAAGGACAAAATCAAAAGGACAAAAAGGATCCAGATCCCAGACATAGTAGTGTAAAGACCGAGCAAAAAAAAGATTTGGAAAAGATATTAGAGCAATTCTAAAGGATGCCACAGAAACTAAATAAGAATTTTTATGTTCCCTTTCTACGCATTGAAACTCATCTGGATGTGAACTGAAATTCTGATCTTACAAAACCCCAAGGCTTTTGACATACTTACAAAAATTCACACCCTCTCTTTTTCTAAGTCTCAAGAGTGACCTATTAGACTGCCACCCAAAAAGCCTGAAGAATTCAAGTATATATGTAATTTAGCAATCAAAGACCAACTATAAACAAATTACAATTATAACCATCATTTCTCATGTAAAAATAGTCCCTAATCATTTTTAATCCCTGTATTTTTCCTCTTGTTCTTAGTGAATAAGTCTAGGTCTGCTTTGAAAGTTATTTGAAATCAGGTACAGATATTAGTCATAAAAAGCCTTGAAATATTTTTTCTTGGGGTGATATCATGGTTCTCTGTACTACAGTAGCTAACTTTTTGCTAGACTCTAGGAAGAACTTAAGTTCTGGCATTACTGCTGCTTTGCTGATTAGTTCAGTATCAGAAACAATCTATAGACAAAAGGGTCTATCACAGAGTACCTTATCTTATTCTTCTCAGAAACTGTGACCAAAATTCCAGAAAGTAATTGGATTTTCAAAACTGAACACAGTTTTTCTCCCAATTCAGTCATGACTGACAGGGCCAGAAGGTAATGATATACCTGCCATGATGCAACAAGCAGACCTGTCTTCTGTCAGGGGTTGAAATCATAAAGGAATAAGCTGTCATTAGCAGCCTCTCTCCAAACACTAGAGCTGTCATCTCACTGTTTCTTTGCTGGTGGTGTGAGAGCTGGTGTGACCTCGTATGTCTTATCAGCTCAGAAATGTACCAAGCTTTAACCTTCTTCAAGTTTTTACTCCAAACATGTTTTATGAAGTCTATAATGGAAAAAATAACACATTTTATTTAATTAATTTATATTATGTCTAAAGTATACTCTTATAATTTAGAATTGTTGGCCTTGGCTTCAATAGTTTCATATTCATGCACCCCAAAATGAGCATTTAAAGGAAATTCAGTGACTTAAATTTAATTTTTAAAGGAAAAAATAATTATTTAAGCAGATGGTTTCAGGTTTATAGTTAAACATTTACTGAATTGTAAAATCTTTCAGAAATAATCAAGCCAATAACTATATTATCACAGAAAATTTTATATGAGCTGGCTTTGAACCGCGATCCTCAGATCTCAGCCTCTTGAGTAGCTAGGATTACAGGTATAAGGCACCGGCGCCCAGTCCAAAATATTTATTTTAAAATGTTGTGCAATTGTTTTGATTGAGGTCTCTGAGAAGTTAAACATGTATTTCTTGCCATAGTCTTTATTGTGCTTGCATTATGAATTCAATACTTTCTTATAAGCTGCTATATATTATTCCTATTAGAAAAGTAATTATGCCTTATTTTAATATAATATTCTTATTTTCTATTATGTAATACTCATCATAGTCATTAAAATCTTATGAAAATTTCCCATCACCATGTTTGTAGGATATTGTTGAAATACAATTTGTAATATACAAGTGATAGAACAGGAATTTATAGGTACGAGCTGAAGTATAACCAAAAAGTTTATTATCCAACTTATTAGGAAAAAAGTCATATCCTGTTCTAGATCGTTATACAACAGGACCCCATGAAATTCATGAAAAATTCTAACCCTGCAAACAATCAGTTTTACAGGTGTACCAATCAGAGGAAAAAAATAAGTAAGCTAGCTTACTTGTATTATCTTATCACCTTTCTTCCATTACCCTGGAAAAGTTGAGAATGATTCAGAAATGAGACGTAAGCAAGATACTGTGGAAATAAGAGGTAAGCTTATGACTAAAAGCAGAGACACATGTTTTAAATTCATGACCAACCTCCTCCCCAAATTAACAAGTACAAGTACAAAGCAGATTATAATCTCACATTGGGTGGCTAGACCTGTAATAGATAACGAGTTTTTTTTTTCTTTGTAGAACTTATCCAGAAAAGGGCTGGAATAAGGACATCAGAACACAGAAGAGAAAGAGAAAAGAAACAAGGCTCAAATAAATTGTTCTAAGCAAAAATTTTCCCACAAAAAGCTTCCCAACATTAAGGATCATGAGTGCGTATTCTAACTGCAGAAAAAAACCCACACTAACTGCCAAGAAGAACCAATCAAAAGCAAAAGTAAACAAATACTGAAAAAAAAAATTCTGAGACAGTGTCTCATGATGCAACCCAATCTAGTCTTGAATTCACTGTCCTCTTACCTCTACTTCCTATTGTTGGGAATGTAGGTATGAACCACTATACCTGGGAATATGATTTAATGCTTATCAGAGAGGAGAGTAAGATTCCACAGTAAACAACAGTCAGAATGGTACTAGGCTTTTCAATTATAACAATATATACCTGGCCAAGCACTAGTGGCTCACATCTGTAATCAGTACTCAGGAGGCTCATCTTGGGATTGCAGAGTGAAGCCAGCCTGGCCAGGGCAGTCCATGAGACTCTTATCTCCAATTAAAAACCAAAAAGCCAGAATTGGAGCCATGGCTCAAGTGGCAGAGCACTAGCCTTCAGCACAAAAGCTCCCCAAACCAAACCTAAATTTAAAAAAAAACAAAGATAATTTTTAAAAAGCCTTCAAATTTCAGAATGTAAATTATTTTCAACCTGTAAATTGATGCCTATTGAATTATTCAAGTGGAAAAGTAGACTAAATGCATTTTTAAGAAATGCAAGATTTGAAATTATATTTTGTATGAACTCTTTGATGGTTCCAACAAAAGGAGAGCATATACCAAGGAACCACACGACAGATCAAAGCCAGCCACAGTGGTACATACAGGTATTCCCAGCTACTGAGGAGGCAGAGGCAGGAGGAACATGTTTTAGTCCAGCTCCAGCCAAGTCAGTCAGATCCTACGTCAAACAAATTAAAAAGAGGTGGGAAAAGATGATATATTAGAAACATCCACTGTTCTGACTCCATGAATGAGAAAAGCCAGATAACACAAGAGAGTTTACATCCTGAAGAGGGAAACGGTGGAGGAACACTGGGAACCAGGCAGAGGGAGCAAGACAGCAGAAAAAATCATGGAGAAACAGAAGCAACTGAAAAAAAGCAGCACACAGTTTGCTGCTCTCTGGAATGTAAAGGTGAAGGTGAGATTCAATCACAAGGTAACCTAGATAACCCTAGTGACAGACTGTCAAATCTAGTGTCAGGATAACCCTATGTCTTCCCAAGAAGATTTAAGCCCATTACAGGGATTTGGTGAGACAGTGACTGCTCTGGTAGATGGCTAGCTTAAGTGAACACATTCTGTCCCTACCCTCATATCTGGGAGCGTCAGGAAGATGATATATTGAGAAAAGTCCTAATGTTATTCTGTGTAAATTGAAAAACAGGAATAATGATGGCCCAGGGAATCTTCTTCTTCTTCTTCTTTTTAACCTATAGAGATTTCAATTAACGAATTCTTAAAAAGAAAAAACTGGGAGAAAATAAGGGAAGAGATGACATGGTTTTAAAAAAAGGTATTCATTACCTGACTTAAATAACTATACCCCTTTCATATATCACCTTTACAATAAAAATAAATTAAAAATTGTAGAAATAGAAATTTATTAGTTTCATGAATTCAAACATACAAAAACTGAAGAGCAATCTTTATCTATCAAGTTATCTGTACAAATCCTGAAATGTGAAATAGTTTAAAATAGTTTAATGGTGCACTGCTTCAGTCGAAAACTTTACTTAATGAAATATTCAGTTATTTTAATACTAATGAATAATTGAAATTAGAAACCAAGCCAAAAGTGAATATACAGTTTCCTTGTTTATGAAAACTGAAAAAAATGTAATTAACCTAAGTAACTCAACTCGCAGCTTTTACAAAATATTAACTAAAATCTATTAACAAAAATGTCTTTTAGGACCTGGGCTGAGACCTGATATTTTCTGATCAGAGTCAGTATAATCAGGAAACTTTTCCAACTTTAATCACAAACATGTATTAATATCAATCTTAGAAACAAAAAAGCTTAAGTACATTTATATGTATCTATATATATATTTATACATACACATACATACTCTTCCTAAATACTTTTGTAATCTTATATTAAATTTTTTTATATGACACCACACTTTCCTGAGGAAGATTCCTACTCATCCATTCTTTGACAAAGTTGGCTTTCAATACAGAAGTTAAGAATAAAAACTAAAGCAACTCGAAATGAACATTAAGCTCTAACAATACTGGGTCAGAAAAACACCTTATTATTTATCACAGTAAAAAATAAAGCCTTGTGCAAAATTTTAAGATAACCATTTTTGAAAAGTTTGAATTTAATAAAAATAAAGAAATTTTCCATTTTGTTTGTTTTATGATTACAGCATCTTATTTTTGGGTATTGCAGTTTTATTAATGACAAAAAATCGGAGTTTTTCTCTGTTTTTCCTTTAAACAACAAGAGACTGGTCTAAGCTAGCAGATCTCCTTTAGACTTCAACTTCATTAAATTTGTTAAGCAAAGTCTTACAAAAACAATTATGATCTTTTTGCCAGAAGTACTTTCAATGTTGATGAATAAATATTTGATATTTTAAATGGCATTTTACATAATAAAAAACAAAATGTAGAATAGGAAATACTCATTTCAAAGATATTAAGGGTTAAGATATATATGCACTTCTTCATAATTGCAAAATAATGCAGAACAGTCATCATAGAAGTTAAGTAGTAACAATTGGATGAGAAGAGTATGTTTATAGGTTATACTTTTTAAAGACACATGGTTAAAATAATGTATAACATAGAATTATAAAATGCCCCAAAACAAAAGAAATTGCACTTACATCCACAGCTCTCTTAATAAAAGGTATCTGTGTGCCACTGTCCAGATCTTCATTTATAATAAGCCTTCTAGCCCACTGACCTGCCCTCACAACACCACTACCATGAATTAAAACCATCAGTTTCTGTGGATTTGTCAAAGCATCCTCACTCATAAAGATAAAACTCTTTGGTTCACTTTCTGTGGCATCTACCTGTAATTAAAAAAAAATTAAATAAATAAAGGTTTTCTGATCAAGAACACACACAAATGAGATTAAACAGGTAAGGTTACAATAAAATACCGGTTATTACAGATTTAAAAAATAATATTCACTTGAGATTAGCTATTACATATCAGGCAAATGATCAAAACATAATGATTTAATATAAAATACATGAAAATGAATACTGGAAATAAGACCCTGTACATTATACTTATTTAACAAGATAAAATCCTAAATAAAAATAACTGTCACTTGAGCAATGCCTCAATCCTTTTGTTTTTAGTTTTAGTTTTTCAGATAGGACTTCCAGCTAACTTTGCCTAAGCTGGTCTCAGCCTCTAACATTTATCAACAGAAAAAGAAACTGATATCTAAGTAAGTTTAAGTAAGTTGGGCAAGATCACCAAGTAATAATTTCATATCTAAAATATATGGTACATGTAACAGAAAATAGAAAACCTTAACTGGAACATTCACTTGCTGGAAAAATATAAAGTAGCCAGGAATACTATAATTTGTACTATAACTACTTAACTTTCAAACATATACTATTCTAGGTAAAGGGACTTAAAATTTTCAGTTGGATTGTAAGCATAGCGTTATATAATAATTGTGAATTCAGTTACTTAGGGATCAATAATGCATATTTTGACTCATTTTGTTTATGCCAATTATTTACGTTTTTAACTAAATTTGAAAGACATAAGACTTTCAAACAGGGATAATTTCCCAATCTTTTACTTCATCTGTCATAGTGCACACTAAGTGGCATTTCATAAATGGGAATGGAAGACTTTGTATAGGCTAGCCATAGCATCCTGATAGCTTGTAACACAAACACACCTTCACAATCAGATGAACTCAAAGACAGTATAATGTACTAGTTCTCCATTTTATGAACATTATATATGCATATAACTACCAAAATAAGTAACGAAAACTTCAAATTCCTAAAATGCCCTAGATGCTAAATATTTCTAGTCATTATTCATATGAATAGAAAATTATAATAAAATTTCTCTACTAAAACATGTAGATCCTTAACTATTTTTTTTTCTTTTGGTCGGTTGTGGGCCTGAACTCTGGGCCTGAGCCCTGTCCCTGAGCTCTTCAGCTCAAGGCTAGTGCTCTACCACTTGAGCGACAGCAATAAGAGTCTCACAGACTTTCCTGCTCAGGCTGGCTTTGAACCGTGATCCTCAGATCTCAGCTCCTGAGTAGCTAGGATAACAGGCATGAGCCACTGGTGCCCAGCAATCCTTAACTATTTGTATAAATAAGATGACCAAAGGCAATTCTTTTAGCAAAATAAGAATGGCCAAAGGGCTTATGAAAAATACCATCTTCCTAGTAAAGTCTTCTGATTTTGGATACTTCCCCAAGAATCCTATGATTCTTTTCCTGTCTCACTTTCCTCAATAGTACACACAACTTCCAATATATTGTAGGGTTCATATATGTTTGTATTTGTTTATTCTCCTAAGGATCTCTCCACCAGAATATGTCTACAAAGGCATAAAGTTCCCTATCTTGTAATCAGTTACATTCTCAGTATCTCGAACAAAGCCTGGCATGTTGCCAGTATTCAGTAAATAAAAGAATGAATACAGTTTTGGCAGTGACTTCCTCTAATAAAAAGCATTTAACTGAATAATGCATCCTCTTTAAATAGTTACCTGCTTCATAAAGCATATGTTGAAGATTAACTAAATGTATAATTATTAAGAATTTCAAAAGAGCTACACAATTTTAAGGATTGAAATGACTTAAATATAACTTTATTATAAGTAACTAAATACAGGAAAAGAGATATGAAGTGAAATGCAGTCACATTAGCTTCACTTACATGCTCTGCACATGCCAAACACATTTTGATGATGAAAGGAAACATGACCAAAGCCACATAAGAACAGAAGTTGGTGAGAGCCAGAAGAAAAGAGGCTTGGGAAGAAAAACTCTCTTTGGCCTAAGAGCATTACATAAAAATGGAGAACCACTTGAAGTGGCTAAAGAAAGTGGTGAGAGAAAAAGTAACGGGCAAAGCTGTCCCTGTACAATAACAATGAAGCCTCAGTGGTTCTGAGTCTACACACACACACACACACACACACACACACACACACTTAAAAGAATCCCATAGAATCCACTCCCAAATTACTCAAGCTGATTCAAA